ACAGGGCAGCTCTTGAAGACAAGAGAAGCAATAAGAGGCTACAATTCAGCCCCAGCTGCACTTCTCGCTCCTTCAAATCCATGCTTGGGTCACACGAAGGAAGAAAACTCAAAGTGCCTTTATCAGTTTTTGCTTGTGGTACCAAACCAGACAGCACTCAGAGGCCCCGCAGCTCTGCACTCTCCATGCAGATCTCTGCCCCCAGCCTGCTCAGGACACTCCATCTGTTCTTCCACTACCCCTCCCACGCTCTGGCCTAAATGCTCTTGGCAAACACCAAAAGATATTTATTCAGTGGCAGCGCTGTAATCCTAGCCGAAGGTGCTGCTGCAGCACGCACAGCGTGTGTGTGCACTGCAAAGGCCTGCTGGAGTGCAATGGGAAGGCAGGGAAAATGCTTCAAAGCCAGACTTTGGAAATCAGTGGAAACCATGATCTTAGAGTTTAACAACTGCTGTCACAGAGGTGTTCCACCTTCACACAGACCTCGTGGCTTATTTTTTCTCAGTGCACATTGATGTTCTGTGACATTTGATAGAGATGAGAGGTACTGTTAAGTTGCCAAAGCAGCAGCTGTCTCCAGTTACAGCTTAGGGCTGGCACCGTGCAGCATGGTCAAGCTAGGGGAGCCAGCCTGGGCAGCTGAGCTGGGATACCTGCTTCAGTCTCCGGTGGATTCTGCTGGAGTTCCCATACCTTTAACCAGCAGAATCACTCGGGGTTTGATAGGATCTTCTTTTCTACACTTCACCCCCACAGAAAGTTTTTATGGACATACTGAGTCTTTTACCCCAATAGCTGATGTACACAATCCCACCCAACCAGCTACGACAAAACGTTCAGGAACTCAGCCATGACTTGGCCCAGCTTTTAATGCTGGATGAAAATCTGAGCAAACACACGCGGTCAGAGACTGCACAGAGCTGGGATCAAACAAGGCCTGATAATCCTTGCTGTGATGCACAGGTAGAGTGAAAATACAGTAGGTAATGAGACTACTTCTTAGCCACTTGAATTCGACAGTACTTCCATGCGTTGATCAGAATGGAATTGACATTTCTTGCTATAGCTACAGTGATGCACTACTGAGGATTTGCACATCGCTTTTTTTCTGTGTCCCTTCAAGAACTAAATTGACAAGAATGGGAATAAATAGCTCTGCTATTCTGCTGAACTACAGAACTGCTAAATATTTATAGGACATAACAAAGTCTTGTTACTAAAGCTAATATTTTCCCTCTTGAATAGATTCTCCAGTGGCTGTCAAACATCTTCGCATTAACTGTTGCCAAGTGTGAGCTTAACAGCCCATCTATAGCTGGGAAAAGAAGATGAAAGTTGGCCACATGATGTTGAGTAAACAAACAGTCTCTGCTTCTGATAAAAACTTTCCATTATACCAATGAGGACAGAAGATAACTCAGAATTATTAAGTGGTCACTGTTTTCCATGCTCTCCACTAAAGATTCAGATGTTGAGAATTTGGTTTGCTTACCCTCATTGCTCATGCAAGATTTCCGAGGCCCCCCAGTACATTCACCATCAGAACAGATCTGCCAGAATGACCTCGTGCTTTTTTGGCTGGTATAACCAACATCAGCACAGCCATAGATACCAGGGCATCTCCTGTAGACAGCACAGCAGGAAAGCTAAAGATCTGTGGCTATTTAAATCTGACAAGACATGGGGAAAATCGCTGGGAAGATCCTGCATCTAAATGATTATTTTTGATAATACAGGTTTTGGTTCTGGTTTAGCACAGTGATATGAGATGAACCAGATCTTGCAACACACTAGTTTCTCTCTTTACGGGGAGATGACAGACCTCAAAAGTTTAAGGTCATATATATTTTACCCTACCTAAAAATTCCACAGATTCTCTGCAAAACAGCATGGGTGAAACATCTGTGAGAAGATACCAAAGTCAGGTAAGAAACCAGAAAATTCTCTAGCTGTAAAGTACAGAGAGCAGTGAGAGAATGGACTTCTAGGAAACACACATCCAACTCTCACACAATTGCCCACGTCTGTCATTGGGTCACCTTGTGTCTGCCTCCTGTTGGTGGGTCCCTGTGGAGAAGTTCACAGATGGCAGCACCTCTCTGCTCAAGACCTGTGGGCTGGAAGCTTCCAAGCTCAGAACTGCCCATCCCCTAACCAGGGCTCAGGCTCAGCTACATCCTCACAGATGCATTCACCATCCATCAAACAGCTTCCCAGCAATGCAACCCAACTGTAGGCAGTATCTTCAGTTGCAAATAAGAAGGTACTGGGCTGAGCAGAGAGATGGGGAATGCAAATGAACAGGTATCATGCTCAGCAGAGAGACACGGAAGAAAAGCATACATAAAAGAGGCAGAAGAAAATGCTGGTCCATTGCTTTAAAACCCAAAGCCCTGTTATCTTATCATTGCTCTCTCCTTAAGTTTTGGGCCCCCTCTGTCAGCTATTTTCTCTTCCTAAGATTTTAGAAGCTGCCCAGAAGCAAGAAAAGCATTCCTGTATCTACACTGGGAAGTGGTTTGTGTCCCAGACCAATATTTCACCGTAGCTCAGCTTATTCAAGCAGTGTGGTAAGCCAGGCAATAAAGGACAGATCTCTACCACAAGATGCAAACTGAAGACACGGGTACAACAATACAACTGCAGGGTTTGAAAGACTTGATATTCATCGGTAGTGCCTGCTGAAGCATATGATAAAGCCAAGTCGGTCCTTCCAAATTATTTAAACATTCCTGACCGAGCAGAGTCAACTTTTTGGCTAACCTTGGGGCCAGGGGCTGCTAACCTCTATACTTCTCTAGAAGAGTATCAAGACTCAGTCATCTTCACTGAGTAGAGATTAGCACCACCTCAGCTGCTCTTTATTTCACAGATGTTAGAGCCATCTACTGGCTTGTTAAAGTTTTCTCAAATGGCTGCTCTGTACAGAAAAGGTGACAGAAGGCAGTATGCAAAACTTGATCAAAGCTCCACAGTATGGCTGAATCCAAGCCTTGGAATATGATAAGTTTGAGTTTGTCTCATTTGTCCCGGTTTGACATATAGACAGAGAGAACAATGTCTCAATGTCTCTAAGGCCAGTATCTGGTCATAAGCAGCTAGTAAGCACAACAGATAACAGAAACATCAAGCCCTTCTCCCAGCAGTCATGATAAATTCTAGTTGGGAACAGGTCTAAAACAGGTGAGTCTGTGCTCTTATCCTCACGTAAATAGCCAAATGCATGACAAGTTCCATAGCAGTGCATGCTACCTTTCTGGCTGGGATACTGTCAAAATAAAACTAGAAAAACTAAAGAAGACTCCGTACCCAATAGCCACTGCAGCATTCCCTTAAAAAGCTGACCAACTGAATAAGCAAATCTGGGGAAAGAGTATTTTGCTCGTATTTTCAACACGGAAGTATATATAACAGCTTTATACTTCATAGCACTTTTATATCCAGTGTCTTTTATGGTTAAAGAACATGCTGGGATCATTAATGCAAGTAGTTGCAACTTCAGAGTTAAGAACCTTAAAATTAGATTAAATGTACTAGTTAATCACTTCATTTTACCTCTGCTTGACATTATTCACAAGCTTATGAAAAGCAACATTTATCACAACAAAGCTGTGCAAGAATCACGTACAGCATGTTTTGGTGCACTGACACTAAATTATTGAAGTCACAATGTGAAACTCACTTGTTTCTTGAGAATACTGTATGAATTGTAGGTGATTCAGGTTTTGTGTTTCATTTCTAGATGGCTTATAAACAACTAGAAGACTACCAATGGATCTATCTACATTTACATTTTCCCTTCTTCCTCCCCATATATGTATGAATTTGGGTGCCTCAGATTTAGTTCCCAACTGGGACCTAAGGGAGTTATCATTAAATTTCTATCAGCTGTGACTCACAATTTACTTCTATGGCAGTGGCACTTAGGGATTCTAGCTTAAGTCAGATCCACTGACATCTTGACAGTGGCAGGTTTCCACCTGGGATTTCCAAGAGCTGAAGCTGAATTCAGCCAGGGAGCTGGTCATAAGTGTTGGGGCAATGCCAGATGCGTGTGACAGCCAATGATCAAAGCCCTCAGTGCTGAGAGCAGAGACTGGGCTCCTGACACCACAATAACAAGCAGTCTGTTTACTTACTTCCAGGTGGAACTTTGTGATTCTGTGCACAAGTCTTACAAAACGTTGGAAAGCAAAATAGTTTGACTAGACAGGATATTCTGTCCATTCAGTTCTGATGTAATTAGCACAGAGGTATGGACCCTTAATTTAAGCCTAGTAGTGTTTAATCAGTGGTACAAAGAGACTTTCTGAGGCAGAAATGGCAGGTTGGCATCCAACTGAACTTCCTACCTACCAAACAACTCTTCTGCAACGTTTCTCTTACCCCACCCCAAAGTTCTATGACAAAGATTGCTGCAGTGTTTGGGTCAGCACCGCCCAATGGAGAATTTAAAAACCTAGCAAAAATGCATCTTACTGTTTAACAATCTGTGACTTACATTAAAAACAGCCTGTGACTGAAAATGAAGCAGGCAGCAAATCTCACATACAGTTCTTGTGAAAATACGGTATGCTTGTTAAGATTATTTGTTTTAAGTACAGGAAATTCTACCTCCAGAGGCTCGTTCAGTTACTTTAGTTCCTAATTAGCAACTTGAGAAGAGCCTCACCATACCTACCGTAAGCACTCTCCAGCAGATGTACAGCAGGGAGTCTGTAGAAACCTAATTCAAGAGAGTGATACGGATGACATCATCCCAAGTAAGATGCGGTTCTTAGAGACGACAGAAGTGTTTCTGCATCAAGCACACTATCAGTGCCATCAGTGACCTTTCCTTTACTATAAACGGTTGAATTTAAGCAGACTTCTACTCAGACGCGGATGGAACGTTCAGCAAAAATAAGTTAGAGCGCTTACGATTGAGTTGCCATACTCACTAAAGCAGAGTTTACTCCTCCAACAGTTCACACTGAAGTGAGACACAGTGTACACACCTGGGAAGGTGAGGCGTCGTTTCCAGCCCACGCAGTCCAGGCCTGTCGGAGTACTCTGGGAAAACGGATGCAGTTTCAGTGGTAGGATGTCAAGAGCAATGGTAGATGTGATGGATGGACTTCTTCCAGCCTTCAACAAGAGAGGGAAAACAAAACCAATGTATATGACACAGATACGCCTTGCTGAACAAAACAGCATTGCTCATAGAGCACCTCTTTTCCCCTCTCATGCCTTGTCGTGCAAGTAGTCTGTTAGTAGACACATGGGTGGCTGGAGAAGACAGAAAACAGTGAGAAGGCAAAGAAAGCTGCAAGGTAATAACAGGAGAAGAGGATAACCAGGTACTGGATTTACAGTTAGCACAGTACCATGCATGTCTGCACTCACGGAAAGTTACACTCTTTCCTTTGAAGTCCATAGTGTGGGAGAAGGAAGCATACCACAAGAAGTCATCCTCTCACCTACAGAACTAAGTCTTCTTTCCTATAACTTCGTGGCATAATTTCTGTTCTGGCATTTAAGGAGTAAATAAGATCTGTTAGGAACAGTACCTAGGCATACAGGACACATCTAACACTACATCCTTCCTTTCAGTTATAAATAGGATCCCCTCTGCCTGGTTGGTTAGTTTTTATAAAACTTTGAGAACTTTATGAAAATTGAAAACTCTAAACCATTGACTTATCTCGCTGAATTTGTAACTTTATAACTTCTGCTGCTTTGAGAGGGAAACAACATGGGTAGACAGCATGCATACAGACAGCTCAATTTATCTACTGCTAAAGTAGGTCAGGCTTAATATAAACAAAAATGAGACGCTTTTTTTTGTATGTTTGTTTTAAAGAAATCATACAAACCACTGCCATTAAGCCACCCAGACTAACCTACTTTCTCATCAGATATCCAAAATTGAGCAAGACCCTACAACATCACAGAACATCTGACAATCACAGACCCATAGAACTGGTTGAGATGGAAGGGACCTTTAAAGGCCATCTGGTCCAACCCCCTGCAATGGACAGGGACAGCAGCAGGTAGATCAGGGTGCTCACGGCCTGGTCAGGACAAGTGATGCAGATTGTAATGAAAGTCACTGAAACCTGCAGTCCTTAATGAATGATGCAGATCTGCTTGTATGAACATATTCTTTCCTCTATTTTCTCCATCTCGTGCCCATCACAGCTGGCACACACAGAAAATATCAGTGACCACAGGTGACTGGGAGACCACCTGGAAGGCAGCAGGTCAGTAAGCACTGTCCCCATGGGCACAGCCATCTTGCAGCTCTGCGTGCCTACAGCCCTGTCCTTCTGCTGCAGCGACCCACTGCTCTCTGCTCAGTTTAACTCTTCCTGGAGTTTCTGTACTAAAACAAATAGGATACCATCAGAGGAGAAGCAAGAGCTCTGCTCAATTAACCTCAGCTGTACCTGTCTAGAAAAGCACACCAGAGCCCCTGTGGGAACACCTGCCATTCCAGAGACAGCAACATCAACAAAGACAGACAACATACTGAGCTATAGCTCAGTACATATATATGTGTGTGTTTGTCTATCCTGCCTCCTAGTTTTAAGCAGAACAATGTTTTCTATCACATACAGTATATCAAAGCCTAGATTATTTATGTTAAATGTAATAGGAAGCATTACTGTACTGCACCAGGGCTATTGCAGCAACAAAAGCAGGGTTTATGCTTACTGCCTCCCAGGACATCAGAGCAGGTCTCAGGTACAGGCAGTGTTTCCTTTGTGCAGCAGAGGCAGGTTTGTACGGCCCAAAGCCAGGAAGGGAAGTGCTTGCAGGGATGTTAGTAAAAGCAGGCAGGGTTCTCCCCACCCTACAGGGGAGGGGAAAGGAGGGACAGGAACTGAGTAAAGATCCTCTCTTCTACATTCTCTGCTTTGGATTAAGACCGTGCTCTTTTGCACAGTCTGGGTGAGGTATTTACCTCTGTTGTGTGCCCATACCTTGTCAATGGGAAGACATCTCCTTCATGAGTCCCCTCTCCAAAAGGGGATTCATTGCCCCCCTGAAGTGTATCTGAGGTGCTCACAGAGCTCACAGTTATGGCAGTGCATGGCAAAGCTTTGTTTCCTTATTTCAGATGGGGTAAAGAATTAGGTTTTCAGGTGCCCTATTCAGGGCAATAAGCTAAAAAGCTCTTTTTAAATGCTTCTCATTTGTCCGTTGAAATAAAAGATAGAGCTTCTACTGCACTATACCCCAATGGCTTTTTAGGAATGTCCCCAATGAGCCTTTTAGGAATCTCTCTAATTTGGCAGTGCAGAAACTGTGCTTTAAAAAATGCGACCACATCTCTGCTTCTATTGCTGTGTGCTAGAGAAGCATCAGGCTTAAACAGTCAGGTTCCACCATTTTATTACAACAGGAAGGAAAAGGACGGGAGCAGACGAGCAGGCAGCTGGAAGATACCACTAAAACAACTCTTGCAAAAATAAATCTCAAAACAGAGTCTGTCACCATTACATACAGCAGTGTTTTGGGGCACTGTGTGTGTTCCAGCCAGAGAATTCATACTGCATTAAAAAAAGTTCCTCTTGTTCCACCTTGGAGAAACTACCTTCAAAGGTTTGCCACAACCAGCTAAATGCTAACATCTTGAGGTAAAAGATCAGAAGCTGCTCAGCTTGTTAGTGCTAGTATTTTCTTATAAGGGACAGCTGGGTCAAGCTTTGAGTTTGGCTCTAGGGATTTCCACCGGCTGTTCCCACCTGAGGCAGATCAGCAACCTCCTGGGCCTCAGCAGAACAAAGCCTGGCACACAGAACTGTTTCCAACTGGCATTTCTTATCTAAAAACTACTCTCTTGTTCCCCTCCCTCTGAATCCCAATCGCCAGCTTTCAGAATAGCTTTGTGTAGCCACTGCACTCATTTGTCTGTACTGATCTCAATGATATACTGTAAGAAATCACAGTTCAGGTTAAGAATTCGTCTTTTGCTCCTCCCTCTCCTGCTCTGTTCTGTTGTTTCCCCAATATTGCAGCATTACATCACCTTGTACGCTGACCTGAGCTTGACTTGGCACAGTGTGACTTATCATAGCTGAAGCCACGCGTCCCCAAGCAGCCATGTGGCAGGAAACATCAGACTTGCATTTTCAGATCTCCAAAGCTCCTTGTATTTGCCTTGTTTCAATTGCAAAAGCACAGCAATGAAAAACCTTACAAAGCTTCTTTTGTGGTAGTTTATTTCGTTCTCCTTATTAGAAGGATTTTTGGCATCCTTCTAAAGCTGCACCCAAACACTGCAGCTTGTGACAGCACTCCCACTACATCTGAGGGCATGGATAAGCTGGCACTATTACATGAATAGAGCACTGCACAAAACAGAACACAACAGGAAGAATAAACTACACAAGGACTGCTATGAATAAAAAGTACAGACCAAGGAATGCATTCATATTGGCAGACTGGAAAGAGCCCTCAAATCTCCACACTTGTTCTGATGAAATTTGGCCTGCTCACAAAGATAAAAAGGATCAATAACACTAAAATCAAGAGAAACAGTAAAAAACAAAACCAAACCAATTTAACTACACACTGCTAGGCATCTTCTCCTCTGAAGCTCGCTCTGTTTTTACTCACCTCTGCTACCCAAAGGAGAATAAACCAGAAAAGCCACTCAGCCCTCCAGGCATGTGTTGTTAAGTGAGGGGAGCTCAATGGGAGCAGGGCAGCGCTGCCCATTACACAGCTCATCACCACTGAGAGCTAAGCTTGCACCAGGAAAGGAGGCTGGAAATGCTTAAGGAAGAGGCTGTTTTCTGGCAGTATCAAAATGTGTGGTCAATCAGCATAGCAGGCAGCTTGCAAGCTGCATAATCTGATGGCTCCAGGGATGCTATTGAGGTAACTGCTTGCTCCTCTCAGAGGCTCTTATGGTCTCTGTGCTGGTGAGCATGCCCTGCAGCATGGGCTGTATTTCCATCACTATCCATGCTCGTTGAGCAATTGTAAGGAATATTTTTAGCTTATTCTACTGGCTTCTGTTCACTAGTGAGCCTAACTAGCCCAGCGATGCATCTTCCCGTCAGCACAGAGCTTGGAAGTCTGAGCAAGGCAGAAAAGTAACTAAATTTCTATTTTTAAGAAATCAGAATATATGCTTTTGCCTCAGGAGCATTATTCTTTATCTTCAGCACATAGGCATGAAAGCACCCTCACTGAACAGAGCAGACAAACATTCCAGAACGTACCTGGCACTCACCCAAGCCTCAACTGACAACATTTTCTTTTGAAGAACCCTATAAGCACAGAGTAGCACAGACTCAGGCCCTTGTCTTGAGGAGAAGACTACCAGCCAATGTCTGGCGTTCTCAGAAGCTTTTTCAATATTATCAGCAGAAGCTGCATGAGGTGTCCCTCTGATCTCATTTTTTTTCCCCATAAATTCTAAATTTGGCTCCTGGGTACAGAATCCTGGCTCTCCCCAAAGGGAACAGACCTTAGCTCTGGATCCAAGAGTAACAGATGTCATCAGTGTGAGTCATAACAGCCACAAAGTTTGTCATGAGAAATCATAATGCTGACCTAGAAGTGTTCCCCAGTGGACAGGAGATTACCCATTGCTAAAACTCCAAGCACAGTACTGTCTCAGGCACTTCATAGTGGGAACTTGCCCCAGTAAGATGTGTGGAGTTGGCCTCCAAGGGAAATCTGATTTTAAAGCCTCTTTTTGAAGTTATTCAGCACTACCACAGGGCACTGAAAGAGATTTCAAGTTTTATTTACACCGATTTAAGGCAACTGTGATGTTGGCCCTGTTCTCCCTATCTTGCAGCCCACAGGATAATCCCGTTGTCCAACAGGGCTCAGGGCAGGAGCTGCTCGCTTGCAGTGACTACAAAACCCACCTCCTCCAGAGATGGGAAAGTTCAGTGTTTAAATAACCACTCTCCACCCATAGCTGCCAGACCCAAAGAGAAGCAGCGAGAACTGGTACCAGACAAAGCAGAAGGACATGAACATGAGTAATGGTAGAAAACAGCCAGAGCAGAGAGAGGAAGACAGTGCCAGGGGAGGAGGAGGAGGAGGACAGTGTGTGGGTTCTTACTTTTAACTGGTCCTCTGGGAAGTGTTGCAATTGAGTCCCTCTCTCTGGCTGTGTCTCCTTCTCTAGCTTCCTTTTTTGGTTCCTCTGCATCCAAATATCATCGAAGCTGAAGCACTTATAGAGGGATTTAGGTCTCTTCCTCCTCCTCTCCGGAATCTCCTTGGCTTTTTCATGTGGAGCAAGGAAGGAAAGCCTCCAGGCTTTGTTCTCAAGGGTGGAGAAAGGGCGTGGGGATGTTGGAACCTGGGGGGACCTCCTTTTGCGATGGGGAATCCCTTTTTCATTTGGCCTCTTTTCAGGTGGTGTTGGACATTGCTGTTTAGAATCCTGTTTTACAAACAGCAGTGAAAACACACAGTTTGTTCACAGGAAATTCTGTCCGCTTCAAGTCAGGTTGAACAGAAGAAGGCAACACTCAGTTGTGTAGCCCCAGAAGCATTCAGAGGAAAATGCTTCCCCAGAAGTATGGCTGAAACCACCCTCAGCATCCTCCATAGGCTCAGGGGTACCCACCCTGAAACAGCAGCTCTGCTGCCCTTTAAGACAGCTAACACACCCTCCCTCTGCACAGCACAATGCCCTTCTCACCCTCATTCTAGATGGCACGTTACAATAACATTACTGGGATTTAGGTCACTCTGCATATTATTTACACAGACAGCATCTCTGAAAATATCATAAGGCCCAGACCTGTTGTTCATCTGTGCTTTTCCCACTTCAGTTATACAAAGTGAAAACGCTTCCCTGATGCCTGCAGGTCTGATATATTAATCCCTGTGCTTTCTGATGGTGCTCTTTTACCATCCCTTATATTTACTTGATGTTGGCCCGAGATAAGGGAATTGCACAGTTTCCTCTTTCATTCCCATTTGCTTTTATTGCATGCTTGCACAAAACTACAGCTTTTATACTGGAACTGGTGGGAGATAAGAGTATTAGGGAATGAGTGGAGTCTCCTTTTCTGCCAAGAAAATGCTGTATCCTGACAACATTGCCAGTTTCTCACAGTTTATTTGAAGAACCCAAACAATGAGGCTCCTAAACCACTGCAGACACTTCCCTTTTCAATCAGTCAACAATCCCAGATCAATTTTTTATTGCCACTGGCAAGAGATGCCATAGTCTAGGAAGGCTTTTTATCTATTAGATGCTATGCAGAAATGAAAGTGTATCCTGCTGGCTTTCTGTGCCTAGAAAAGCAAGAAGACCTTGCACAGACTCCAAACATCAAACATAACACAACAGTTTGCTCTTGCCTCCTGAGTGAAATCACGTTGCAAACATGCACTTAAGGCCCTGCCATGTGGGCAAATGGTAATTCTGTAGAGTTCTTCTGTCCTAAAGTTTCCAGCACAAAATCTTTGTCCTGGTTACAGCATGAACAATGCTAACCACCATTAGTATGTAATGACAGAGGGGATGTCCTGTGCTCCATCAGGCTGAGAAGGGTTACTTACCAGTGTGTTAGGTCTCAGGAGGGAGCTGAGCTATTGCAGTCTGATACAGTACTGTAACACAGATAAAGCCTCAAGAACGTTCACACCTGCTCCCTCATCTAGCAATAATGCCTTTACTGATGTGGAACAGAAAGGGATTTCTCTAATTTCACCATTAAACTTAATTTTATGACTTTTTCACTTATCCACATACATAAGAAAGACCATCAGGATGCAGTTTTACTTCTTTTCACAGTGTCATGAAAATGGAAACAAGCAAAAGCCCTATACACTCAAACAGATGAGATGATGTGTCCTGAAAGCTGGGACATCTGCTTTAATTCAAGTTGCTATCTACATTTATCCAGCCTGAGATCCCTTTCTGCAGCCTCCAGAAGTATCAGTACAATTAAACTGGTTTTATATGAGTTAGGCACCATGTACATTTTTTGCAGTTTTAATTATTTCATCTGGCAGTCAATTTAACTGATTATTTATTTGCTTCTAATGGTCACATCCTAGAATCATAGAATGGTTTGGGTTGGGCTTGTAGTTGGGCTTGCCTTTTGAAATCTTGATACATGCCTCATCCTTCTACTCTTTTCTAAATGTTCTTTTTGGTTATGACTTACAGGTCAATTATTTATTCATCTTCTGATTATTCATTATATTATTCATCTTCTGACAGGCCTCATCTGTTGGCAATATTTTAAGAGTACTTTCCACAGGCTGAGTACCTTGCATTTCCCTAGGCTGCTGTAACACTGCAGGTGTCTTGCTCAGAAGGTGGTATTAAGTTTGTAAGTTAAGTTGATGCCCATGAAAACAAAAGATTTTCAAGCAGATTCTCTTCCCCTTCTGCCCACAGCAATTCCAGAAGTACGGCCCTCACTGCCCTTACTGCCACCCACAGGCTTCTTTGGATTCCAGACAGCATTAAACACACACACACAAAAAAGGAAAAAAAAAGAAAAACAAAAAACACCACACAAACAATCAAAAACTATTCACTGGAAATATATGAGGAGAAATTGAGGGAACTGGGTTTATTCAAGGTGAAAAAATAGCACTAAGGGCAATGTGAGAGCAGTCCAAAAGAAATTTGTAGTTACACGGATGATGAATCTGAATTCTTTTACGATGCCAGACTGTAGCCAGAAGTAACCAGGAACCGTAGTTTGGAAAGTCCTGGTTGGGCACTAGGAAAAGAATTTCTTCAGGAACGTTTCCCAGAGAGATGGTGAAATCTCAAGCATGAGAGGTTTTCAAGACTTGATTAAACAAGTCACAGGTTTGTCTGCCCTGTGTTGCCACTAGTCCTACCAGAAGAAGTACATGGAATTAGGTGGCCTCCCATGTTCGGTTCCAACCAATCAATTCTCTTTATTCTTCCTTTTTTTTTTTTTTTTTAAAGGTAATATACCAGCAGGGGTAAGCATAGGCTATGATCATTTTGAAGGGTTATATTTCTAATACAGCCTGGGATGTGACAAACGAAAGGCAGCACCAACTGTAAAAGCTGTGCAGGAGCACACGTGAGCTGCGCACAACCAGCCCTCGGCTGCAGAACTGATCGAGCAGCTCCAGCTTCATGAAGAAGCGCCTGGTTGGGGAGAGGCAACTGGCAGAGAATCCCAAATGACGTTTTTTAAAATTTGCTCAACAAAATACTGCTGCCAACTTGATAGTGTCAAAAGGCATCGGCAGCAATACTAAAAAAGCCAGGTCCTGGGATCTCACAGTCACTCTGGTGGGTTGTGTTTAGCCACTGAAAGAGGTTCCTAAGCTCATGGCCACTTATGATTTGGGAAGTTGTCTCTGGGATTAAAAGCCTCCAGAAATAGGAAGTCTCTGCTTTTAAAGGGCTCAACCAGTTGAGAGACCCCTACTAAAGATATATTCTTTTCATTGAGATCTGAGCTATCAAGGGGAAATTAATTTGTGACCAGGATTAGAATGTAATGCAGTAACACAAGGAGAGCCAGAGAGAGTCCATGTTTTTTTTTTCCCATTTGCTGCAGAAAAGGCAGAACACAATTCCTAATGGCACCCCAAGGATAGTTATGGTGACTTCAGAAGACTGGTGGTACTTTGAAAAACAGCTGCTTGCTGTCTAAAGAAATGAAGGTTTTTCTTTATAATAAGTAACTGCAAGAATTGATTTCTGTATTATTTTTCACTTTGAGAAACTTATTTAGTATATAACAGTTACAGTGCTCGATTCCTCCTTTCCTTTCCATCAATAGCCTGGGGTCACAGGCTGATTTCTATGTAGCCTGTCAGAGGTGTACCCTGCATTAGCAGTGCTGTGATGAAATCATTTAGATAACTGTGGTAAGCCCTCCCTTAAATAAAACATCAGCCCCTATAGTCTTTAACAGACTAAGTAGGGCCACCTACTATAGACAAAGAGGAATATTTATGCACCAATCTAACCATTGTGTTCACTTAGCCATTAAAGAATTTAACTGGAATTCATAAACCACATTGAAACAAAAGATTCTGCAAACAAAAGCACCACCTTATCATTTGCAGACAACTCACCTCATCTCTGAGCACGTCACTAACGGAAGAAGCTGTGTTTAAGCTGATCTGGGATTGACTGCTTATCCCACTGTCATCCCTCTGGTATTCGTTGTCCAACGAGTGTACAGAAAGCAAGAGACTACCTCTGGGTTTCAGTGTCTTTGGTCTCTCGGGAGCCTCCAAACCACAGTCAACTGCAGAGCTGTTCCCAAGAGAGATCATCGACGTGGCACATATTCTTCCAGGATAACGGAAGCTCTTGCGTTGGGATGCAGATCTTGGACTCTGTGGTTTGGGACTCATGGGCCTGCAAGGCATATCTTTACCTTCAGAATTTGAAAGCTGGGGACACGATGGACTTGACTGATTAAACGGTAACTGCACATCAGAGGGGCTAAATGGAGATTTCATCCAGCATTCCTCTAGAGAAGCATTAAAACTGCTGCCCAGAGCTTCTTGCATTTCATCACAGTCTGAACTCTGTGAGTATCTGATGCCCAAGTCATGGGACAACAATCGTTTTCTCCACATACCTGCAGGTGAAGAGACATCCACAGGCTCCACAGAGCTGTCAAAATAGTTGGTGTCTAGTGAAGAACCGTTCGCCGTTTCTGTTTTCAAAACCGCATGTGCATCAGAACCATCCTGTTGCTCTGCTGATGCTGTTCTCATCAGATGGCCTCTAGTTGTGCTGATGCTCTCCTGCGTTGGTGACAAATTTGCCAAGATAGGTCTTTTTAGTCCATCTGTCTCTTTGCTCTTTAGAAAAGCTTTCCAGGTGCTCTGGCGAAGTTTGGCTTTCTCCTTTTCATTTTTCAGTGATGTTTTCGAGCTTTGCTCAGTGTTTTCCTTGTCTGGAGATTTGGATTCAAATAAACTTGAGAGGGATTTGTGTGCCAAGGCCAACCTTGTTCTGAACTTCTTGCCCTCGGGGTTTTTATTTCTTTTATATTCATTTTCAGGAAAGGATTTTCTAATCCCAGTGTATTCCACAGGTTCACTGCTTTCAGATGAACCTGGAATGAGTCCGTCTGCATATCTGACAGCGGGCAGTATGGGAGAAATTGAATTTGTGTCTGTATCTTCCATCAGTATTCGACCAGAGCCAGAAGCCTTCCTCAGGCTCATTCTACTGAATAATCCTGCAGGCCTCTCATAGAATAAATCATCGTCGTCTGAATACTCAGAGGCATAGCTTTCCTTCCTGTGGAAAGCAGAACCAGACGAACAACTTTTGAAGGACTGTAAACTTTCAGTGTCTTCATCTTCTTTCCCACCTTCCAGTTCTTCTGTCTTAGCCCCGCTGCCAAAGATGCTGCTGCTTCCCTGATTTTCAGCTGTGACAGGCTTAGTTTTCCTGAAAGATGTCATTTTTGAGAAAACGAAAAACCTGGAAGCTTTCCCACTATTCCCATTCTTTGTTGGCTTTTGCACAGCTTTATGGAGGCTGCTGTTACTTCCCAGGACGTGGAATGCATTCTCATCCATTTCCTCACTGTTAGTGCTGCAGGTGCTTATGTTATCCAGGCCCATACAGCAAGCACTGTGGGCCTCCCTTTTCACGGAATAGTTGAAGACATCACACACGTCTAGATTCCATGCACTGTCTTTTCTAGAGCTAGCTGTGTTTTCTGCAGGAGAGGCCTCCATTCCTCCCCTAGGAGGAGGTTCTTCACAAAAAACTCTTGGTTCATTTGAACCACTGCAGCCTTCATCTCCTACCACTTGTTCAGAGGTGCTGCTGGGCCCCTGAAGGTCCTCATAAGCACCATCTCCCTCATTCAGACTGCTTACACTGCATTTTTCCAGCACTACCGCTCTCGTTACACATCCATCTTCCTCTCTGCCTTGATGTGCTTGGAATTCCTCTTCCTTAGTCACCTGGTCATCCTTTGTTTCAGCCCATGGCTTTCTGAACTGTTCTGTCTCTAATTCCAAATCAGTCTTTGCTCCGTGTGGCTCTGTCTCAAGGATCATAACACCGCTTCTGCTGCCAGATTTTAGCAGCACTTCCTCACACTTATCTGCAGGATTTTCTGCAATAAGCGCGTCGTTGCTCAATGGAGCAGTGACACTGCTGAATTCTACCTTTCCACTTGTTATCGTGGAATTACTAGAGGTGAGTGCAAAGGAGGAAACTGCTTTCTTGCTCTGCTCTTGTGAAATGTCTGTTTTTCCTTCAGCTGTATCCCCATCATGGAGTGGTTCTGCATTACCAGTAGAGGTGGCCAAGACTGATTCCTCACAGCTACAGAACTCACTCAGAACTCTCTCTGGCTCAAGATGAGCTTTGCTGACAATATGAGGATCCACCAAATCCTTTCTCACTACATTTCTCAGTGTTCCAGATACCGTTTCAGTACAAGGGTCATCATTCAGTGTCTTGGACTGTAATCCTTTCTGTTCCACAGATATTATAATCAGGGCAGGCTTTAACTCTGATAGATTCATTAAGTGCCTTCCCTGGTTCACACTATCTAATGTGGGAGTCATTTCCACAGCAAAGACACTGTCTCCATCTTTTCCTGGATGAGTAGGATATTCATTTGCTACTGGTTCAGAGGGAGTCCTTAAGGCACCAGTCTGGCAACTTGTATTTTGCTGTGTTGTATCTGTGTTCTCTCTCTCAGTGTTACTGACACCTGGTTGCAATGTGGTTTCCAGGACTTTCCAACAGAAGTCAAGATTAGAAGGATCATCTGCCTTTTTTTCCCCTATCATGACCTTGATTTGTGACAGTTCTGATTCCAGAACATTTTCCTTTGAACATTTCTGCTGTGTTCTACCAGTGCCAACACAGTTTACAGCCCAATTACAATCTCCATTTTCCACAACAGCAGGAAAACCTACATGACAAGTTGCTATGTTCTCCGTGTCATCAGTGCCAAATTCAACATTAATTTCACAAGGGAATCTGTCTGCTTTCAGATCTCTTTCAACTTGATTATTTTTTGAAAGTTCTTGAGCATTTATAATCACTGGTTCACAGCCCAGGGTAGATGAAGTCTCCTTTTGTTTCCGGTTACATTCACACTCATCAGTCTGGGTGGATGAGGATCTACCTGTACACGTATCTGCTTCTTCTGGACTAAGGCCACTACCCTCTTGTTCAGAGTGCAAATAAAGATCAGGGCACTGAAAGGTGCCTGATGGTTGAGAAAGCTGGTCCTCATTTGAGTCTATGTTAGTTTCAAGAAGGAATCTTTCAATGCCCAATTTGCCCTCTACTCTGACTGCCTTTTCAGAGCTGACAGAGCTGACCCTTCCTAAGTTTTTCCAAGTGTATTCAAAATCGAGTCCTTGAAGATGTACTCTGGAACAAGACCATCTAAATTTATCTTTCGGATGAGGACAGTTCACCAAATATTCTGCCTCGCTTTGAGTGCTGATATTTTCAGGTACACTGTGCCATGTTTTACTTCCTATAATCTCTGAACTCTTGTCTTCACAAGTTGAAGGTTTTGATTTGAAGTGGTGCTGGTAAAAAAACGAACGTGACGACAGCATGGCCTCTGTACTGCCATGTCTTATCCTCTCACTTGTAGTTTCCTCACTGTCAGCGGAGCTCCTCCTGTTGCAATTTACACTAGACATGGACTCTAGTTCACATTTATAGTTGGATGTCTCAGTGGAACCTTTATGGTAAGGTCCATTTGTTTCAAAATGGAGATTAGGCAAACTACAGCTTGATGCTACATCTGATCGGGAGGAAAGTTGCTGTACCTCAGGTAAAATCAAACAACTTTCTGAGTTAGTTCTGAAAAAAGCAATGCTTAATACTGCAGGACAATCCTTCTGTCTTGTAACAGCATCTTTGGTAGATACTGAACTGGTACAGGACTGTGTTTTACTGATGTCAAACTCCGTTTTATTTTGCAACCCTACTATGAACTTCCTATCTGTCTGTGATATAACGCACTCTTCACCCACTTGGTTCTCTGTGTTGGAAGTACTGCTGGTTAATGCTAGATCTTCAACACCCGCTTTGCATTCTGACTTTGCAGTGTGTGTGCAAAAGTCATTCTTGCTTGGTGCTGCTTTTATTTTGGAAGACAAGTCTAACTGCACCTGCTGGCTGAGTTCTGCTTGTCTTGAGCACTTAAGTTCACACAGGGCTGTAGGAACACTACAGGACACATTTGTTTTTTCTGCAAAAAGGCAGTTTGAATCCAAGCAAGTCTCTCCTGTTACATCACTGGCAACAGATTCTGTCTCTGATGCACTCTCATAAAGCTCAGTTTTTACATCTGACAAAGATCCACTCTGATGGGACAGGGTCTCAAAATAGTCTTCATCGGTGTCTTGGCTGGATCCACGTATCTCCAGCTCTATTGTACTTGGAGCAGAAGAACTCAGATCATCTTCTAACTCTCCTTCACTGACATAGTTGTCAGCTGGCTCTGGGCTCTATGAATAAACAGCAAAGAATTATTTATCAGTGATTTATAGAAAGGAGACTTAGAAAAAAAACAATAAATAAAAAGACTTCAGGACTATCAATAAGCAAAATGTCAAGTATAACCTTCAAAGGTATCAGCGTGTATTAAATCCACTGTGTACATTTCTTAACGTTTCTTAATTCAAAAAAGCCAAATGGAAACCATCCCTTGCATGAAGATCTAAAAATCCATCTTCATATCTGAGGAGGCAGTTTCTGCCATAAACCAGAGCAGCTGTTACTGTCCAAATGACACAGATGTACATACATATATATACACACCCAGGTGCAAAGCTCTTCTAACTGGATACCACCCGTACCAAAGCCTGAACCAAAGCTGAAAGAAATCTTTGATTTCATTTACCAGAAGGCTTAAGCATTACATCGCACATACAAATCATTTACTGAGAGCAAAAAGATGAAAACCACACTGTCAACATCAGGAAACGTCTCTGTCCCATCCTGAGGGAGCGTTGACCTTCTGTTCTTTAACCATCAGAAAGAAGCCTGAGTATTGCTTACGTTTAAAGTAGACAATGAAATCACAGCATTTCCTCAGGTAAAAGTAGCATTTGCTGTCTGTCAGCTTTAGGCACAGCTCTTGTGGAAGCTCAACAGATGGACCACACTAAGATACTGAGCTGACTCCAGCCACAGTCCAGAAATAAGCAGAATGAGAAGTTATATTATCAGTAGCCTTTGAACCCTAATGCTGGAGGCCTCTTTCACCAGTTTGTGATTCCAGTCATCACTAGAATGGTCAGCGTGTTTCAAAATCCATAAATAGATGAAATAATGAGCAGTGAAAGATATTTAAAAACAAACAAACAAACAACAACACAGAAAGAAAGAAAACAAAACAAAACAACCCATCAAGAACAAGACACAAATAAGCAGCAGCCGTAAGTTAGAACACGAGGTCCCTTGGCCTCGGTTGCATGTCACCTCCATCAGGATGCTTCATCCCAGAGATCTGAGTCCTCACACTTACAGGAAGTCAAATTACAAATCATACCAGAGGATATATCACAGAATTTATGATTTTAGACTCCAAAACGGAGACGGTAAATTGGAAAAGGGAATGCACTAGGAAAATAGGGTTACCCCCAAAGGGAGTTGTGATAAGCTGAGGAAACAGAATAGGTTTGAAACAGATAAAAAGCTGGAGAGAGAAAGGAGGTCTCTGACAGCACTGAGAGCCTTTCATGAGAGTGCTTTTACCCTTTTTCTCTCTTGCAGTTCTGAACATTCAAGGCATCTCTGTCAAGACTCAATGAAAAGACTGGTATTTTCTCTTGACAAACAAAGAAAAATATGAACTGAATGGAGGAGGGAGAGGAGGATTCAGTGCTTCACAGATAAACTTGGCCAAAATGCAGTATAACTGCAGCCTGAGTCACGTCGTCAGTAGAGCAAGGTGTCCTTTACTGCATGCTATCAGCAATCCATGTAGCTGAGGTCCTTCAAGAACGTCAAATCCCACTGCCATCAGGGAACCAGCATCAAGGCAGCAAAGAGCAGCATTTCCCATGATGAGTGAGCAGCACAAACTGTGAGCAGTTGGCTCACCCAGCAGTGAGCACCGCAGCAGCTGTTCCACGGTGACAGCACTGCCTCTCCAACAGCGTTCTGTGCACAGATTTACAGATGGCGGTGAACTAAGATAAAAACTGTTCAGGCAAGCAGGAACAAAGTAATGAAGACGTCCAACTGTCCCCAAGGATAATTATGAATTAAATTATAAAAAAAAAAAAAAAATAAGGCAGAGATCTCTTGCAGTCTAGCTATCATTCCAAACTGAGCTATGCTGGGATATTCAGGCTGTGACCACCCCGACATCAAATTCATTATTTGTTTTTTTTTTTTTATGGGTATTTTGAAAATTTATGTAATCAAAAGGGAGAGGAGAAATCTAGTTCTAGCTATGAAGGACAGCAGTTAATAACATCAGCCATCATCCCTGAGACAGACCAGCCCTGAACATGGGCCATCCTGACTTTCATCTATTGTCTCTCACTTCTCAGTGCCTCTTGGAGGACAGACCTTTGCTCCAACCAGCTGTCATACAGTTTGTTTTTCTCCTGACTGGCAATGTGTGTACACTGATAGGATTTGTGGAATGGAGACAGCTCCTCTGATGTAGCCCTGTCCTCTCCTTACAATCATGAGCCTGAGATATGAGTAGACATGTGGTAGTGATTCTCTGCTACGACGCTGATCAGCCTTTAATTTGCATGAAGTTGCAATTAGAAAGCCAGAAGCTTCAAAATATCCACCAAGTATCCACACAAAGTCTGCTATGTGTAAGGATGGCATTGATTCCCTGGATGGGTGTGCAGGTACACAGTAAGAATATCTCAGATTGCTACAGTTCACCTACAAACAGTACGTACAACTGAGCCAGGCAAGGGAAATGCTCTTCAAACTGAAAAAAAAGGACTGTTCGCCAGGTTTGACAAGTCAAAAGCAGAGCTACAGAAGTGATTTAAAGGTCTGCACCTCCAATGTACATGTTGAATCCTGGAACACCAATCACAGTCTTGGCAGCGCTCTCCATCAAAGCCAGATCAGAATTGCTAATTCAGTTCTGAGTTGCAACAGGTCTTTTAATTGCATTCGTTCTCCCTGAAACTTTGTTCTGATTTGAGCAAGCTGATCTACAGGAAGTGACTTTTATATAACACAAGGTTTTTCCACTTTACAATGACAAGCCAAAGCAAACTGAGGGCTGGCAATGCTGCCATGTGACATTTGCTCCCATTGGAGCAGCAGGAAGTGTTTTATTTGGTGGGGAAGTCTTGTATCATTGTTTATTGAGACCAGATTCTGTATTTGCATTATTTGCATCTTTTGCTGCAGGACATTTCATTCATAAGCCATTGCACGTTTATATATGGACCATACATATATAGAGTCAATACAACAATGTATCTCACTCTTTTGCAAGAGACAGGTGACCTTGCTGCTGTTCCCAAACAGTACTGTTGCTTTTTGCTGAACCAGAAGATCTCAAAGCCAGTTCTGTTGATCTGTGAGAGCCTGCACTACACCAGCAGCTACTGGCAGGAGGAAACAACACACACATGTCCTCTGTGTGTTGTGCTCTAGCTGTACTTTGTGCCTTCACCGGAAATCCTCCCAGTGGGTAAGCAATTCCAAAATTAGCAGCAATATGCAAGGAATTGCACAAGGCTGTGGCAGCTACTCGAGATGGTAGTGCCAATGAAGGCAAGAGAGAGAAGGGGTTGCAACCAAAGGTGAAAAGAAACAGAATCACAGAATGGCCAGGATTGAAAGGGACCTCAAGGATCATGAATCTCCAACCCCGCTGCCATATGCAGGGCCACCAACCTCCTCCTTTAATGCTAGACCAGGCTGCCTATTCACATTATTTCGCCATCTCATCAACAAACAATGTCTACGTGAAGAATAAAAATGAACTCCTCCTCTCTGTGAATCTAAAGCAAGACTGAAAATGTCAAATTTCAAGGCTACACTTTCTCTCTATCACAATTCTGAATGCAGCAATAGATTTCCAATCACCTTAACTCCCAGTAAGCACTGTGTGAATCCGGATTTTGCTCTGCTTTGTCATACCTTCCTCCTCTACACGGACACCAACAGCCCTACGTGGGGAGAAGGATATTTCTAGACAGGAGTTTGGCTGCCAGAATCCGACCTTGGGTGTTTGGCTAGAAAGTAACCCATCTGGGAACGTCTCGGACATACAGTAAGCTTGGAAGATAATTTCTTAGAGCAGGTTGTAATAGTCACAGCTTACCCTGTGATATTTATCTACATCTAAACACCACTTGAACATTTCCCAGCCTCACCAATTTTTGTATTAAGAGAAGCCACCTGGATTTTATTTATTTATTTTTTTTACTCTCCTTGGAAATCAAGAGACATATAACTGCCACACACACGTGTAAGAAACGTGCAGAATCAGTGAAGTACCTGAGTACTGCGAGAGCAGCTGAGAAAAACACAGCGCACGCTGCCTTCTCATCAGCTCGAGTGGCAGCACGGCATTTCTGCCCAGTGGGTGCTTCTGCATTACAGCCAGGCTGCCGGCCCCGGAGGTAAACCTGCCCCATGCAGTGCTGCCTCCCTGACCTCGGATCGCGCAGGACTCGGTCAGCAGAGCACTGCCACAGGCAGGTGGGCTGCTGCACTTCACACTGCTGCTGCTCTGATTTCTTTCAGCAAGCCAATCCAACACGAAAACATTGCTCTAGCTCAGAGCCAAAGCCATTACCTCCCTCCTTTGACATTAACACTTCCACGCGGACAGCTTAGCAGGAATTCTGGCCAAGATCAAACACGCTGGCCAACACGTTGTGTCTTTGTAGGCTGGCTGCCATCTAGAGGCCGGCCGATCAGACTCAGCATGCACAGAGAAGCACATAACTCCCTTCAGTAAATGCAAACCGCGTTCCAGTCTCTCACTGCGCTGCAGGTCTGAGCTCAACAAGAAATTAGCTTTAGCTTCAGCCACAGGAGGACTGCCCAGCAGACGAAGAGATGAGGCACAGAAGAGGGCTAAAGATTCACTGTGTTAAGTAGAAGAGAAAAACGCAAGCAGTGCTGTTTGCAGAGCAGTACGTGTTTATCAGTGCAGCAATATCAGACGTATCACACCACATTACATCACAGCAGTGTTGTGGCAGCCTTTGTAGATTTATTCTCACAACCAAAACCGGCAGCATGAAAACAAATCCTGGATTTCAGCAAAAGCACAAACAGCATTGGCTCGTTCTCAAAATGTAAAATATTAAACCGCATCAATTATTAATACTGTAACGGTTCTAAAATATAAAACTATAATTTCTTCATTTAAAAAAACAACAACAACAACAATATACGATGGTGAATAAAATCTGGAACCCGAATAACGAAAAATAAAGACTCAAGCAGCTTCACCGCACTTTGAAACTCTGCTTTTGTTGCATGGCAATACTCCCT